ATCACAAGTGTGGCCAAGTTTCCCGTGGTCCCAAAAAGTTTGTTTACAGTTTACAGTTCTGGCTCTCAGTGTTCTGTGCTGATATTTAACTCTAATTGACCCCAACTCTCTTCTAAGAGCCCATTAAGTATTGAAAGTGTTGGTAATGCTGCTAAACAATATTGACCTCCCGTGATTCAGCAAATTCTCTGGTTCAGCACGGGTCAGGTCCCAAGGGTGCTGGACTAGAGAGGTTCAATCTGTATATATAAGCAAGTAACAGAATATCCTCTATAATTCTGAGTGTGAATGGTAATGTTAATAAGAATAAATCAGCTTTGAAAGATATTTATTAAGTTGTATATTTAGTTTTCTAGAATAAGAATGATAAATTAAACAGAAACTATTGTAAATTAATATTAATAAACAATCAACAGAATTTCAAATTGTTGCACATTTAAGCTTTTTAATGATAACATGCCACCACAGCTGTTTCTGTAGAAGGGATATAACTTGTTAATTGTCACTACAAAGAAAGATACATGAGATGAATGTCATAGAACATAATGAAAATAATAAACTGTGAATTTCCATCCTGACTCAAAATGATTCTCAGATGAGTCTGAGGGTATGTCTAGACTACATGCCTCCGCCGACAGAGGCATGTAAATTAGACATACCAACATAGTCAATGAAGCGGGGATTTAAATATCCCCTGTTTCATTAGAATAAAAATGGCTGCCGTGTTGTGCTGGCTCAGCTGTTTGTCGGCACAAAGTGGAAGTCAAGACGGGGATCGGTCGCCAAGGAAAGCCTTTGTCGACCGATCCCTTATGCCTCATGAAACAAGGTTTACAGGATTGGTCGACAAAGGCTTTACTTGGTGACCGATCTCCGTCTTGACTGCCGCTTTGTGCCGACAAACAGCTGAGCCAGCACAACACGGCAGCCATTTTTATTCTAATGAAGCGGGAGATATTTAAATCCCCGCTTCATTGACTATGTCAGTATGTCTAATTTACATGCCTCTGTCGGCGGAGGCATGTAGTCTAGACATACCCTCAGATAACTGTGATATTTCTTTGTGGTTTCTCTGGTGAGTGGAATATGTTGATATGATTTTTGTTACTCGTCAAGTTTCAAATTAATTGAAAGTTTTCTGTGTAGATATGTAAAATCTCTTCGGAAACCAGATATGTGGCCCTGATTCTTCAGGCTGATCCATGTGGATGGATTCTTTCAAATACAGGGAGCCACAATGAATTTAGTACATCTTCATAGATGCCTTCTGGTCCAACCGCATCAATGAATTTACAATTTGGGGCCCAAATTAAAACTGAGTTAATCGCTTTTTAGTCTCTTAGGCGTAAATGGAAGTTTTGCCATTGACTTCAATGAAGACAGGATTCCACCTTTGGTTGCTAGGTAAAATTAAAAGATTTTGATATCCTTCCATTTTTGGTGCAGAAAGTATGTTGCTTTTGGTTCTTACTCTTTAATGTACTGATTCAGTGAAGCAATTAAGAATATACTTAAATGTTTTCCCAAATCAGGCCCTTCATCACTAAGTTCCTGGGAATGCCCTGCTTTCTACTTTTTCAAGTTTACCATCCAAGAAATAATCAGAAAACTGATTTTTAACTCCTCAAGCTACGCTACCTAAAAGAGTGGTTGAAAGACACACTGATGCTTTCTAATAAATGATACTTCCACTGAGCAATTTCTTCTTTCAATAGAGCCAGATTCTTCCTTTATACAAGGCTAAGTATCTCTAGTTATACTCAGCAGGACTGTAAACTCCAGCTGAAGCTGTTACACTAGGGGTGATTCCATCTTAAATGCATTTCAATCCAATGAGCAAATCAGTTTGATCAAAATGAAAACCATTTCCCAAAACATGAACCAAGCCAGAGTAATTCTAAAGGTTCCTAATAACCTGGAGAATATACTGTTAATGTGCACATGCATGTGTGTTTGAGTGTGTGCCATGTATGTGTGTGCACATGCCTCTGCCCTTCAAGTTGCAGCCAGGGCCAAACATTAGACTTATTTTTTTACCATGAGTTTAACACGTTAAGCATGAGTCAACAGTGTGATGCTGTTGCAAAACAAGCAAACACGATTCTGGGATGCATTAACAGGAGTGTTGTGAGCAAGACATGAGAAGTCATTCTTCCACTCTACTCTGCACTGATTAGGCCTCAATTGGGATTGGTCCTGCCTTGGGCAGGGGGCTGGACTTGATGACCTTCTGAGGTCTTTTCCAGCTCTATGGTTCTATGGTATTGAGTCCAATTCTGGGCACCACATTGAAGAAAGATGGGGAAAAATTAGAGAAGGTCCAGAGAATAGCAACAAGAATGATTAAAAGTCTAGAAAACATGAGCTATGAGGGAAGATGGAAAGAATTGGACTTGTTTAGTTTAGAAAAGAGAAGACTAAGAGGGGACATGTTAGCGGTTTTCAAGTATCTAAAAGGGTGTCACGAGGAGGGAGAAAAATTGCTCTCCTTGGCCTCTGATGATAGGACAAGAAGCAATGGGCTTAAACTGCATCAAGGAAGTTTAGGTTAGACATTAGGAAAAACTTCCTAATTGTCAGGGTAGTTAAATACTGGCATAAATTGCCTAGGCAGGTTGTGGGATCTCCATCCCTGGAGATATTTAAGAGCAGGTTAGACAGACACCTGTCAAGGATGATCTAGATGGTTCTTGATCCTGCCATGAGGGCAGGGGACTGGACTCAATGACCTCTCAAGGTCTCTTCCAATTCTATGATTCTATGAGAAAAGCTACTTACTGGATTCCTGACTATACGGAGAGTGTTGGAAATCTGTAAGACAGCCTATTCTCATAACTATTATTATTAATCATGTTTATTATGTTAGTGCTCAAGGACCAATCAGGCACTGTATAGAGTAACAGTCAGACCCCACCCCAAAGAGTTTACAGTCTAAACTAGACAAGACTGACACAGGTTGGGGGAAAAGGATGGAACACACAGGAAGTGTGAACAATGTGAGGGTGGTAAACATGACTATAGTTTCAAAGTTTTGGGGAGGGTGGGTTTAGTTATGACAAGGTCACTGAAATGGAAAAAGGGACGGAAGAGAGAGACAGGGTTGGAGAATAGGATTAAAAGGCCAGGAATGGAGTGAGTGTAGCTGAAGTGAAGAAACTAGGAGGGAGGGAGAGGGTTGGAGCAAACAGCCAATCTGCACAGGACACAGAAAGTCTAATCTAAACTACAGAAAATGCTCTGAATGTCATAATGTCCTAAGGCTGCTCTGCAACTGCTCCGACTGGCTGGAGTCTCTCACTGGTTCCTCCCTGCAATTTTTTCCTAAGGCCGTGTTGTGTAGGTGGGTGAGACGAATCTCAGTGTTTGACCAACATGGTTTCAGATGGGCATATGAACTATAGGATGTTTCTCTAAACCAAGGCTCCACACCTTCCTGGTTCACTCATCGCTGCTTTGGAAACCAACTAAAATCTAAAAATTAAGATATTTTCTGTCAGATGGCTTATTTTTGTCCTACAGCTACTTCAATAGCTTATTACGGGCACCAGGTACAGTGGAGTCAAGGGAAAAACACAAAAACTTCAAGATGAGTCACAGAGAAATGGGAACATGTGTGTGAATCCCTGTGGACCTGTATCTTGTTCGTTTCATAAAGTGTAAGCATGCCATTTGAGTCAACACAACTAATGCGGGATCATGCCAATGGCTTAAGAACTCAGACCTATTTCTAGAAATGGGTATTTGTGGTGCATTGAAAACTGTGTTAAAATTGCAAGTTGTCACTTTACATTTGGGGGGAGAGGTGTTCTTGGTCATGCTGGCAGTGAGGAGGCTCCATGAGGATGCATGTGAGCTTGTCCATGTAGCTGTCTTTCAGCAGCCAGCCAGCCTGCAGTAAGGTGAGGTGAGTTGTGCCTCTCTGTTTTAGGGAGCAGCCTACTTTATGTCTCTCTGGTCTGAGGTTCTAGTGCATTGCTGAAACATGGCCACTGGAGATTGTGGGGAGCTGTGCCTGTGGACACTCAGTGTAAACAAACTGTCTCGCCACCCACCAGCAGATAACCCTGCAGGGTCACGTGTGGCCTGCAAGCCGCAGGTTGCCCACCACTGCTACAGAATGTAAAATAGCATGAGGGAAATTGGGTAGCAAAAGATGGAAACATTCAGATTTGAACCAATAATTTCACAACTTCAGACATGAGAGCTGGGTCTTAGTCCTTTTGAAAACGCATCCCTTTGTACCTTTTTGTTTGTACAAAGAAAGTGGATTGTGGGGAATGATCTAATTTACAAATGAAATTCCCTTTTCAAAATTAGAGTCTCCTTACACTTACTATTACTACATTTTTCATGTGGTCAGGATAAGACCTGAAATCCTTAATTATTGCAGAGATTCTCCAGGGGCAATCTGCATTTCAGTGCTTATTAATTCAGTCAATAAAAAAGTGACACTGAGAATCATCTGCACCTCACTTACATGAGGTTCCTAACTTACATGCGGTTTATCAATCTGCTTTGATGGCCCCATCAATGTAAAAGCTGAGTGCTTTGCAAACATTAATGAAGGTGAGGCTTGCGACATCACAGAGTAGGCTGATGACCAAGCTAGGTGCAGAACTTCTAAAGCTGTGCTCTTCAATATGGGTGAAATCCTTGCCCCACTGAAACCAATGGGGCAAGGATTTGTTTCCCCAATTCAACCATTGGTCAACAAATTCTTACCTTTGCTCTCAGCCTTTGTATAATTCACATACATGTGTACGCGAGTTAAGAATTTGCACCAACCAAATCTACAGAGGAAAGAGCTGAAGGGAAATAATTGCTTAACACTTGTGTACAATGTATGTGGATATCAGTATGTATACAATATGCTGTATATAATTTTCAAATGTCCGTTGGGTGAAAAAGATACTACTGTCATTGCATACTGCACATATATGCAGTATATAACTCTCCGTATGACTACTTTGTCATGTTTCCATAATTTAATTCAAATTTTGCTTCTCTCTATATTTCAGGTTTATTCCAGAATATGAAAATCAAGCTTCTTGCTGTGCACTTCATACATCATCACCAACAAAGCCAGACATCACAACCCAGCTCAGATTCCAGAGTGATTATTATCATGCATGATCTATGGAGCAAATAAACGATAGCTTTATTTTATAAGGTACATTGAACCTCCGGGCATTAGTGGTAACAAAAACAAAATACAGAACCTTAGTTTAACTAAAAATTTGAGGAAAATGACAAATCTGACATGAAAGTCAAAGACTAAATAAATATGTACTTCAATCGTTTTTGTAAAACAATGCCTTCACTAGAGACAGACTTCAGCTTGTTTTATTCTGCAAGGTGAAATTTTTGTGGATTATCAGACTCACATCATGCAATAGTAAGAATCAAGTTAGTTATAAATTGAAATCAAACAACTGTACACATAATATAGGGAAATCAGTCTAGAGGCGAACAGTGGTAAACATAAATCCTAGAGAATTAGGGAGCATGTTGATGTTAGTATATATTATTTCCTCTCTGGATGTTGGATTTTTTTTTCATTACACATGATATAATGGCATCTACTGTACTTAAAATATTAATCTGTTTCTTTTTAAAATTGTAAAATGATATACTTCCACAGAATCACATAATTACAATAGGAGTAAAATCCTACTTCTGCCAACACAGAACAAAAAGCTAGTTTCAGATTCATATGCTGAATACAGTATTTTTGTTTGCACACTAGAAAAGTGCATTGAAGGAAATTATCTAATTTACATATGAAATTCCCTTTACAAGATTAGGCTATCATCATGCTCACCTCTTCTGTATTCCCTGTGGTAAGTGTATCTACTGTAAAGATTGTCTGGGCTCTGTGTTTTAGTGCTTATTAATTCTCTCCATAAAACAATTTCTGAAGACCTGCTGTGCAACACTGAGAAACAGCTTCACTTTACATGAGGTTTGTCTGTGTGTGAAGGCCTCATCACTATAGAATCTGAGAGCTTTGTAAACATTCATAAGTTTATTCTTTCAACATAGGAAAGTTCTATCCATATTTTACAAATGGAGTTTTGCCCAGAGGATACATCTACACAGTAGTGTTATTTCAGAATAACTGATGTTATTCCGAAATAACATAGTCCGTGACTACACTACAAGCAATTATTTTGACAATGTCAAAATAATGTCGAGCCGGAGGACTTCTTACTCTGACTCCTGTAACAATCATTTTTCAAGGAGTAAAGGAAGTCAAAGGAAGAGTGCTCCTTCACAGACTTCCTGCTGTGTAGATAGCGCCAAAAGCCGAAATAAGCTATTTCAACTTAAGCTACGCAAGTGACGTAGCTCAAATTGCATAGCTTATTCTGGCTTTAGCCCTGCTGTGTAGACATGCCCAGAAAGATTAAGTGATTTTTCCATAGTTCCTCAGAAAACTTGTGGTTAAGCTGGGACTCAACCCTGATTCTATCTTTACTGCCACATAGTTCCTTAACCACAAGACCACCCTGTCTAAGGGATAAACTTCAAACCAGGTATACACAGAACTGCTCTCTTTGGCCCTGATTCTGCAATTCTTACAGGCAATATTTTGATGTGAGCCACTAGAGGATAGCTAATATAAAGAGTGTAGTAGGATCCACCCTTATATCTATTCCAAAACACACCTTCTAATTTTAATAGAACCTCAGAATTATGAACACCTCAGGAATGGAGGATGTCCCTAACTCTGAAATGTTCATGACTCTGAACAAAACATTTTGGCTGTTCTTTCAAAAGTTTGCAACTGAACATTGATTTTATACATCTTTGAAATTTCACTAAGTTTCAGGTTTCCAGGTCTGTTTTGCCTGTCAGTGTTACACTTACACAAATTGTGTTCACAAGTACATTTTCATCACAACTGGACATGCAAATAGCAAATTACAGTCATGTATGTTGGCGCCTGATTCCTATGCAGAGCTATTGCAATTGCATACCCAAAGTATTTAAAAATTAATGGCAGTTTACTCATGCAATTAACTGAAAAAATTGTATTAAAAAAACTAATCATAATAGCAGTTTTAATCACACTGTTAAACAATAGAATACTAATTAGGGATGTAAGCGAGTAGTCAACTATTCGACTACCCGATAAGCTTATGCTTATGGAGTTCTCGACTACTCATTTTCCGGCCCCTTGCTGCCTCTGTATGAGAGGCAGCAAGGGGCAGGGAGAAACAGGAGCTGGTGCTGGGGGGGAGCTAGCTTAAAAGTTGCTTCCCCCCCAGCACTTTCTCCATGGTGCCACCTGCCCTCCCCCCTCTATCAGAGGTAGCAGGAGGGATAGAGGAGGCTGCTATGAAGCAGCCTCTGCCCGCAGCAGGCCGAGGCTCCCACTGTGGCTCTGCAGAGGGCCCCTTTCTCAACTAATTGTGTAGTCAATACAAAATGTATCGACTGCATGATTAGCCAGATAAGCACAATTTAACATCCTTAATACCAATTGAAATGTATTAAATATTTTTGAATATTTTTTCCACAGTTTCAAATATATTGATTTCAATTACAGAACAGTATGCAAAGTAGGCAGTGCACATTTATATTGTTATTTTTATGACAAATATTTATTCTGTAAAAATGGCAAACAAAATAAATAGTATTTTTCAATTCACCTCATACAAATATAAATATTTTACCATTCTGGCTAAAACAGTATCATGTGAACACCTGTTCTCACTTTCAGATGACATTGTAAACAAAAAGCGGGCAGTCTTATTTCCTGCAAATATAAACAAACTTGTTTGTCTGATCAGTTGGCTAAACAAGAAGTAGGACTGTGTGGACATGTAGGATCGCAAGTTTTACAATCTTCTATTTTTGAATGCAGTCATTTTTTTATACAGAATTCTACATTTGTAAGTTCAACTTCCATAATAAAGAGATTGCACAACATTACTTTTATTTTTACAGTGCAAATATTTGCAATAAAAAATATAACGTGAGCACTATCAATAATCATCTAAGTTTACAGATAGGCAAAGAAAGAAAAATGCTGGTTGAGGACCTGTTAGTATTCAATTTAAGGCTATTTATTGTGGGTATTTTGACATGTAGTGTTGACAATTTGTGGTTTTATGGTAACAAAGTTTTAACTTTTTGAATCTCAACATCTGCTGTCATTGAATAATTATTGACTGACTCCACCCATAATTTACTGCAGCTGTGGACATTTAAATAGATAAAAATAAAAAAATTAATTCTTAAAAATAAAAATCTATATTATCTGTCACCATTCTTTTTAAAAATGATTTCTGCAAGCCTATTTACATAGTATCTGATCTTTCTGATTAACCTCAAATATATGATCTTTATTAAAAGGGGACAAGATGCATAGAGTGGGAACAGATACTAGTGGTAAATATTCTGGCAGCAAGGAAAAGCCATTTATAAAGTGAACATCAGTAAATATTAGTGATGACATATGGATATCAGCAGAAAGTAAATGGCAAAGCAAGCTGGGATGAGGTATTGCAATTTAAATAGTAGCAACTGTGTTTTTCTGGGACTGATCTTTTTATATATTAAGAGAAATTTACTATTATGCCTCCTGCTTCCCCTATGGTAAAATGCCAGAAATTCAACTGAGATATACTTAAAGTGACAGCATCCCCCATTTTGTCTAAGAAAGATGATTACTAAATGTCACGTCTATCTATTCTTATAGAGATCAGATATTTGACATGCTCATGTCTAAGCTTCCAAGTAGTTTGCAACATGTTTTCTGTTGCTCTAAGGCAATCTGAAGTCTTTGTGGTGAAAATGTGAGTTGCCCAAAGGTGGTGCATTAAAATAAAGAAATAAATAAAGACCGGATTCATCCCAAAGGTCTCAGGCCAAAAGAGGTAACAAAAAGACCTCACTGAAGCAGACTAAGAGCGTATGTTTCTGATCAGGCTGTGAGAAGATCGCAGTTGGCCAGAAACTCCTGTTTCTCATCTGAAGTAGAGTCACATTCCAAAGCAAACATTGTTATTGTTCAAAAATTCCATAGTCATTTTATCTTGTTTTAAAACCACACGAAATTGTATTAGCACAAAACCATGACATTTGTTAAAGAACATGAACTCTATCACTACGCTGCAGAATGTTCGTCCTTTCTTCTCGTATTGTCTCACTTCCTATCCTATATAGATGGGGAGACAACACAGGTGTAAATTGACTGTCAGGATCACATGTATAGTGAACACCAGGAGGGAGGGGTCCTTTCAAAATCTCCTACTTTGGGGAACTATGGAAGGCAGGAAGAGGCTGAAAGGATGTGACACAGAGAAAGGCAGGATAGAAAAAGATACCAGGGGCATCAACAGCCTCTGAAGGTCCCTGGAGATGAGGCAGGACCTCAGGCAGAAGGGGCAGAGCTGGAGGAAGCCAATCCCCCTGCACTGCCCAGAGCACGCCACCAGTGTGCCCCACTCAGATCTCAAAGTGTGCTCCCCCCAAACCCTCACAGCCACCCAGATCAGACAACGCTCCAGCGGCAATTTAAAGGGCCCGGAGTTCCAGCTGCTGTCACTGCCACAGTAGCAGCCAGGAGCCCCGAGCCCCTTTGAATCACCGGGCTCTGGGGCAACTTCCCCCTTTGCCCTCCGCCTGTCCATGGGCATGGGGATGGCTATAATTAGCAGCATATGGCATTCGAGCTTCTGCAGGTACATCTACGCACCAACAAAAACCCCACAGCACGGAGTCTTAGAACTCAGGTCGGCTGGTTCATGGGATTCAGGCTATGTGTAGACCTTTGGGTTCAGGCTAGAGCCCAAGTTTGAGATCCAGCCTTCACCTCCATGCTGGGTTTCAGAGCCTGGAAAGCAGCCCGAGCCTGAATATCTCCACTGCTGTGTAGCCCAAACCCACTAGCTGACCCAACCCAGCTGCAGCTCTCCCACAGATGGTTTATTGCCGCATGGATATACCCTTGTAGGTTTGGGGCCTGGGTCTGGAAATTCAGGGTCAACACACACACAGTGCACACTCAAGGCCTTGTGCACCCAGGATGAGCAGATGTGAGTCTCCTGAGACTTGGGGTTACATTGCTGTAGAGCCATATCCTCAGCCATTAATCAGTGATGCGACTTTATTTCTGCAGGGCGATCAACTGATTCGTGCACATTCGGGAGTTCCTCTTCCCCAAAACAGCCCAGCATGTCCCGTAGCCACAAGAATACAAATATCCACAAATGCCCCACTCTTTGGCAATTCTGCCTCCCTGCCTGAGGCACTGTTCTTGAATGTGGACTTTCCAGAGGGTCATAGATGCTCTGACTTCTCCCAACCCTCTTTAAAAGGTACCTTTTATTGTTATTGAGTACACAACAGTTAGTATTATCATTAATATTGTTGTGGGCCTATGTTTTGTATGCGGGAGCCTAAACAAGCCTTTAAATGAAAGATTAAAATAGAGAATTATATGCTGAATTGCTGGTTTGAGCATCTACATTCAAGAGTTGGCCTGTCCGAGTGGGAGCCCACATTTGGACAGTGCGATCTGAGAATGTTTTTGTTAGAAAATGCAACAATACTATTGAATTAATGAATGGTTTCCTCTCTAAACCACAGTATGCTGAGCCATACCACAACCGGAAGAATATGGATAAGATTTTCTGACCAAAGACCTCACTGTGCTACTAACGAATTAAGCCTCGTAGCACCCTGGGGAAGTAGGTATTATTACCTTCGCCTTACAGACAGGGAAACTGAGAATGGCTGATGCGGGGGGGAGGGGGGCGAGGTGTGTGTGTGTGCAATGAGGCAGTTGCCAAGAGGCACAGCAATTCAAAGGGATCCAGAGCTCCGGTTACTGCCACTACCACAGTAGCAGCAGTCCCCTTTGAGTCACTGCCAGAACACCCCTCCACACAGCTCTGAGTGCTTGGGGGGCATGCTACAGTCCTGGTGGTGCTGAGGGCTAGCTGCCTTGTCCCTGTCCCTTCTACCCATGGGGCGGGAGCTGCCATCTACACATACACACATCTTGCCCTGGGACCCATGGTGGCTGATGACCCCACTGCTGACAGGACTCAAGAGCACATGGGCACTTCATGAGAGCATTGCCACTAGAATGCAGATTTCCTTAGTCTCAGTGCTGGGCCTTTACCTGAAAGCCCCATGTTCTCCTAGGAACCGTCTCCCATTTTTGCCAGTCCCTAACACAGCAGTTCTCAAAGTTTGGTCTGTGGACCACTAGCAGTCTGTGACCATCTTGCAGGAGGCTGTGGGCTTCGGGCCCCCTCTCCACCCACAGTGTCCCAGCCCCTCCCACTCTTCTGCGTGGTTGGAGTGCCAGCGCCAGCTTCCCACTGCAAGGAGGGGGAGCCCCGCAGACCCAATCTGGCTTGTGGCGGAAGGAAGCTGCTCCGTGCGCTGCCTCTCCCCCTCCCCCTGTCTGGGGAACAGTGGCACAGCAGGCTTTCCTTGCTGCTCCCAATGACTGGAATCACAGGCAATGGGAGCAGCGGAGGGCAGTGCCTGGGAGAAGCAGAAGGCTCAGAGCCAGGTAAGTGCCGGCACCTCCACCTTCTCATGCACTGCCCTCCTGCCTAGATCCCACACATCCACCCTGCTCCTGCATCCTCCCTCCTAGATCCCCCACCCTCAGCCCACTCCTGCACCCAACCTCCTACCCAATGACTGGAATCACAGGCAATGGGAGCAGCGGAGGGCAGTGCCTGGGAGAAGCAGAAGGCTCAGAGCCAGGTAAGTGCCGGCACCTCCACCTTCTCATGCACTGCCCTCCTGCCTAGATCCCACACATCCACCCTGCTCCTGCATCCTCCCTCCTAGATCCCCCACCCTCAGCCCACTCCTGCACCCAACCTCCTACCTACCAACCCCCCCCCCCCTCCCCCCCCCCCCCCCCCCCCCTCCCCCGTGTGTAGTCACTGTGAGTGGTTGGCTGTTGGTCTGCGGAAAGGTCTGCCTTGGGTAAGATGGGCCACAGACCAAAATGCTTGGGAAGCACTCCCCTAACAAATAAAAAACAGGACTATGTAGCACTTTAAAGACTAACAAGATGGTTTATTAGGTGATGAGCTTTCGTGGGCCAGAGGAAGTGGGTCTACCCCACAAAAGTTCATCACCTAATCAACCATCTTGTTAGTCTTTAAAGTGCTACATAGTCCTGTTTTTTGTTTCAGCTAAACCAGACTCACATGGCTACATTTCTATCACTAACAAATAATGACTTTATACAATTAATATTCTTATATCTGGCTTTTGTAGTTTTTTTAAATGTCCAATTTCCATAACATACAAATCAGAACTTCCACCAAAATTACAGTTTAATTCAAAGAGAATCTGCATGCAAAAAGAAAGATAACCATAAAAGCATCCTATCTCATAAGAATTTTTTTTATCATATGTGGAAGATTAAAGCCACTATAAATGAAAGTAGAGTATATAACTGGAAACAAGCTTTCTAAATAGGTGGCATATGTCAGCAAGCATTACAACAGTGTCTTTAGGTGAGCCTTTGATATACACTGTTAACGGGTTCAGCAAAGTAGATACAGCCATGAGAGATTTTCACAGCCTTGATTTGTTTTCCAGCTACAATACATTTGAATAGAACAGAATCATAAATTACCTGTGATTTTACATCTTTAAAAGGACACACAAAAGCTCATGAGATCATCGCACACCCTGGGGGAAAAAAAACAGGAAAAGAATGAAAGATTCATTTTATTGGAATACTGGTTTAGCTATTTCATATTTAATAATATTTAATATTTCATTTACTACTGGAGACTCACCTTTTTTTTCCAGCACAATGTAAGATGCAATGCACGATAGTACATTAAGATTTTATATCTGAATATAGCAGTGTTGTAAAGATTGTCGCTGGAACTGTTCAGCATGATGCACAGACTGAAAGCAACTCAATTTCTTTTTCTTTCTCCCTTTCCCTTCCAGCAGTCAAAGTAGGAATAGAAGAGGGCCTTCACACAACCACATTTCAGGAGCCGCTAGCAGCAAGAGGAGAAAGAAATGTGTATTTCTTCAAGTCATTTGTAATGTTGCTTCTCTCTGGTAAGTACTTTACAAGGGGCAGTAGGGAATCAGGCAGTAACTTGCTTGGGGAAAGGACAAGAACGGACATAGCTTTCCAGTGGAGGCTGATATTGTAGGTCAGTTATCACATTGTTGGCCAATACTGGTTTTAACATTTTCCCGTCTAACCAAGGCACCGTACAATACAGTGATTTTGCAAAAACTGGCTGAGCAAATGAGGCAGCCATTAGCTTGTTTCTGGAATGTTGGCTCTTCTATTCTGGTTGCTATAGTTCTGCATTTGGTTTACATTGATCTCCAGGGGAGGGGGAGGGGGGAATCTCAGAGAAGCACTGCTTTCTCTCTACTGGAGGACTTTATATTGATTCTTTCTTGATTCGCTGTTTTCTTTAATGAACTATAAGACTCGGATTGGCTGACAATATGTGTGTGTCTAGATATCCAGATTGCCTGCCTTGGGCAGCTTGCTGAAGAGGGCAAGCAGTCTAACCATATGGCCAACCCTCGCAAAATTATCTCAAGTGTCAAGATTTGGGGCCAGTTTTGCCAGGTGTTTACATCATACCAATAGCCACAGGTGGGTCAGGACTTCTACCCGAGCAGTCTGCAGCTTTCCTCTTGAAAGACAGTAGAGGCTTTTCTTCCATCCCACAACACAGGGCACCTGGTCATCTACACAGGACATAGTATTACTCCCCACAAGGGTTCAAAAATCATGAGTTAGGCTGTCCAAAAATAATGAGATTGGCTTTAAAAACATGACAGGAGCGGGCTGAGGGGGAGATCTCAGCAGGAGGGGGATGCATGAGGGTTGGGTTGCTTACCTGGAGGTGTAAGGGGTACGGAGGTGTGGGTTGCTTACCTGACTCTGTGCCTTCCACCGCTCCCAGGCGCTGCCCCCCTCTGCTCCCATTGGCCATGACTCCAGCCAATGGGAGCAGCAGGGAAAGCCTCCAGGTGAGCAGTGTCCTGCACTGCTGTTCTCCCCTGCCAGGGGAAAGGGAAGTGGCAGCGTGCAGAGCTGCTTCCTTCCCCCACAAGCCAGATCCAGCCTGTGAGACTCATCCTCCCCACTGCCTTTCCCCCAGCAGTGGGAAGCCGGTAGCAGCACTCCAACCTCATGGGGGAGCAGGAGGGGCTGGAGCACCAGTGCAGGCTCCCCACTGTGGCGGGGGAGGGGGGGAGAAGCCACAAACCAACCTGCAAGATGGTCACAGACCACTAATGGTCTGTGGACCACACCTGAGACCCACTGCCCTAGGACTCCTAATCACTGAGCCATCCTTCTTCTCAGGCGGGGGCCTCATTAGTGCCAACAGCAGTGTTAACCTCCCATAAATGCAGTGGGAAGTATAAAGGCCCTGGCCTCTCCTTCCTTTATTGCCCATAAACGAATTAGCCAAATTGCAGGACAGGAAGTTGGGGCATGCGGTACAGCTGCCACTCCAGAACCCATTCTCCAAGGCATTCCATCGTTGAGCAGCCCCAACGGTACACCCCCTGCAGCAGGCTGTGGATCTCCGAAATACTGCAGCTGCTGTAGAGTTTCACCTCTCCAGTTTTAGGTAAAGTATTAGTCATGACAATAAAGTTGGGGAGGATTTCTAAATTCACCTGCCAATTTTAGAGCCTTGTCTTTCACGCACAGAAGAGCCTTTTTGCTTTTTTTGAGATAGTAAAAATGCGGATGCATCTGGACTCAGGTTAGTGCCTGGACATGTTCGAAAGCCACAGTCCCCATGCTGGAACCTCACAAACACACACTTATACCAACACCGCCAGTGTTCTGGGCTGTGGCATCATCGCCACACTCATTGAGACAGCACTTCTGGGAACAACATCAGGGAATTAGCCCAGCTTTCTGAAGCTTTCAGGGAAGGCATTTAAGATCATCTGAAGAAGTGGGTTGTGCCCATGAAAGCTTGTGATTCTCTCTCTATATATGTTAGTCTCTAAGGTGCGACAGGACAATGTGTTGTTGTTTTCTTAAAAGTTGCTTTCTAATTAGGTATATTCCGCTCTCCATAAACAAACCTGCAAACAAGCTCATGTTTGGAGATGCCCACGCACCATGCAATATGCAAGCACAGATATATCCTTACATTGAAACAGGCCTATCTTCAGACAACCTGCCTAGTCCTCAGATTTCTCCAGAACCTTTGGCCTGCAGAACCGTGCAAGCCTTACTTTTCAGTCATGCTGAAGATTATGACACATCTGATCCCAAAGCCAGCTGGAGTTTTCTATTGCTGCCCAGGAACTTTGGATCATTCTCAAAGTGTTCATACAGCACCCTTGTAGCACATAAAACTTCGTTGGCTTCAGCAGAGTTTTGCCTGAAATAAGAACTAAGTAAGTATATGATCTTCAGATTTTTTTGTTTTTTTAAGCAGAAAGAGAACCCAAGATCTTCAGTGGTGCAGCACAGACCTCTACTGCTTACGCTAAAACAGTGGTCTCCAACCTTTTTAAGCATGAGATCACTTTTTGAATTTAAGTGCAATCCTGGATCTACCTCAAACACAAACACCCTTGGCCCGCCTCCTTCCTGCCCCTTCACTGAGGCCCCGCCCCTACGTACTCCATTCTCCCTCCCTTCCTCCCTCATCCTCACTCACTTTTATCAGGCTGGGGGCAGAGGACTGGGGTGCAGGGATGGGGGAGGTGGACTCTGATCTTGGGCTAGAGGACTTGGAGTGTGGGAGGGGTTTGAGCTGAGCCTGGGGCAGGGAGTTGAGGTGCAGGAGGGGGTTCAGGATGCAGACTTTGGGAGGGAGTTTGGGTTCCTGGGGACTCAGGTCTAGGGTAGGGGTTTGGGATGCAGGAAGGTTCAGGTGTGGGTCCGGGGTTTGGAATGCAGGCTCCAGCTGGGCACAGGTATCTTCTGGGTGGTGGTGCAGGAGACTAAGGCAGGCTTACCCCTACTCTGGCCCTGCACCATTCCCAAAAGCAGCCAGCAAACCTCTCTCCATCCCTCTCTCTCCCCCAGCTCTGTGGAGATGGGGTACAGGGTAAGAGGAGGCGCATGCTGAAATGAGCAACCCCTCCTCTTCTTCCTGTGCCCTGCACAGCAAGCAAGAGGCTCCTGGAGGTGGGAGGGGGCAATTCCAAGGCAAAGGGCAGGAGCAGCACAGCGGTGCTAAGATGAGCAGATACAGTGCCAGCACTTGACAGCCTCCCAGCCAAATCTATCAGGATCTCCTATCAAAGGCTCCAAGATCTACTAGTAGATCCTGATCTACTGGTTGGTGACCACTGTGCTAAAAGAATAATTGTGAGTGAGTGGGGTTTTGTCCTCTAGTGAACTGGATGCTGGAGAGGGATGCAACACATACTTTTCTAGAGGGTTACACAAGAATTCCAGGCTCTGGCTGCACGATTCCACCCAATCACTTGATGTGCACAATGAGATCACTCTCATTGGTATGCCCAAATTAATGGTATCTAACAGTTGCAGAAGGTGTCACCTTTGCAAGAGCAGCTGGCTGTGGGATTTTAGAAACAGGTATTTTGCCAGGAGCCCAAGTCATTTTCTCTAGCAAACTCCGTGTCAGGTCTTGCTGAGGTGCTCTGTCATTTGCATAACTTCCCATGGAAACTGAATCATGGGACAGAATGATCAAGCCACTCGCCATAAGTCCACAGTCATTCTCCTACAGGCTCGCTGCGGGAGTCGGGGGAAAGGAGGCAACGGCCCTGGGGCCTGGAAATTCAAAAGGCTCCAGGGCTTCCAGCCACGGCTGCTGGTACTGCTGCACTTGGCAGCAGCCAGCGTTCCTGGCTCTTTAAATCATTGCCAGAGTGCCGCGCACCAGGCAGTGCTCAAGGAGTGGGGGCTGCAGTGCAGCTTGCATGATACAGAGGACTATCTGCCTTGGCCTCACCCCTTCCACCTCAGGCCCTGCCCCTTCTGGGAGTGCAGAGCTGCCCAGGGGCCTGACAAGGCTGTTGGCTCCCCTGTTCTCCTATATCAGATATCTTAATAATCAGTCCTGTGCACACAGGTTCAGCAACAGCAAAGCCCCAGGATCTCCCCAAACTGTTGCAGCTTGGGTTCATGTCCGACAGTCTTTGCTAAGATACACATTTAGTACTTGGACTGGACCCTTCCTATTAAGCAAGGAAGCTATTTTCAATTCCTCTTAAATAATTGAAGATGCTACAGATACAATCAAGAGTCAAACTTTTCGAGATGGAACTGTCTAGATGATGAATAAGTTAATGGAACTAAAATCCCAGTCGTGGCTGATTAGAGGACCTGGAGAGTTTATCAGAGATGGGTTTGTACGAGCCCAGTCACAGCCTGACCTTGTAACGAATGAGAGCTGAAAAGCAATTAATTGAGAAATTATCAGAGAAAAAGAGAAGTTGTACGGTTGGTTAGGTAAAGCAATATGTCAATGGGCCAGGGATTGATTTGGCTGGAATAACTCAAGGTCTCTGTTCTGATGATTCAGGACTTTGGGAACTTGCTTAAGCCAATCAATAAAAACAAAACAGGGTCAGCAGTGAGAGCCATCAGTCAGCATACTATTCATGTATTATTAAGGTGGCAATAAAGGAAAGTTCTCCTACAGCCAGCAGCACTCAAAGTTCTTAAACTCTGCTTTGGTGGAGGAATAAAGACAGAACTGATCTTCCATTGTGCAAATTACCCTTCTCATTGTAAAGGATGGATTCTGAGACAGCTTTGTGTCTTCAGGGGTATTTCATGGGAACAGTTATGATTGCATTCATAAAGTGAGGAACTATAGGTCTTATTTGCACATGCAGCTGCAGAAAGTAGTCAGAATTCCATGGATTTCAATATTCTTTGGCCCTAGCCCTAAATGTCCCTCTAAAATGTCCTAAAATATAGTCCCAGTGTCTTCTAAATACCTGGATTTACTCCCTCTCCCTACCCCCACTGGTATTTTGACTACATCAGCAACCAGGAAAATCCAGATACATACTTTCTTTATTTTGCAGTTTTTGACATGGCAAACACTGAATTTAATTATTTGTAGAGTTAACAGAAC